ATACCACAGAACTGAAAAGAAGCAATTCCAAAAGCGCTTGAAGGCTGGAAAAAGATATTTTACACACTGTAATCCAGTACCATGCACTCAAGTACAGAGAGCAAAGGAATATCTAATAAAGTCTTAAAAGATTCATTTGGTTTTTTTCAGCACCTTAGTATTTCTGCCAAGTGGCCCTCTATCATTGATTCCTGTAGCCATTGCGATCAGATATGTGAATGACCTCTCATTAAGTCAAATGCAGCAGATTAATCAGGGCCAGTGGGTCCTGTTCAGGAGCCGGCTGGAAGGGAGAGAGACATAATGGCTGGGGTATGAAATGAGACCGAGGGGAAGAGAAAAACAAAATGAAAAAAGAGAGAAATGGATCATCTTTTGGAGGCAGCAAAAGGTGAGAGGAGAGCCGTGAGTGGGCGATGGATGCAGCTTCAACATTTACTGATTTACTCCATTGATTTTGTTTAAAATGATTGCCTGGGCATACAGGGTATTATCGGGAACATATTACCTCTTAGCATTTATTCATTTCACCAAAAGACACTTTGTTTGTAGCCTCAAAAACAGTACAAATAATGCTAATGCACTTCATGTAAGAATTTTGTAAAAGCGCCGGTGTAACAAAGAGAGAATTGTTTGACATTTGAGAAAATAAGTGAATGAAAGGAAGCGTTTAAATCAAATCCTGATACCTTCAAAATCTGCATATAGAGTATAAAATGTTTAAAGCAATATGCAAAATGGCATTTTTGCATTTATAGGTTCTATTACTAATGTTCATTCAGCATTTAAGATTTAAATACATGATTTTAGTCAGACATAAAGTCAATGAAGACACTGTTGATTTATTTTGCAGTTGATCCTCCCACTCTAGAGAATAGTAATACATTCTTGATGTTTGGAATATACATAATTTCAAGAGGCTAAATAACTATAACTGGATCAACAAAAACTAAAGAGGCAGCTGACAGTTCAAGTACAGTTACATCCTATGGTCTAAAGCTACCAAAAACAAACAAACCTGCTACACAACTACTAGATGTTTTACAATGTGAACTATCTATTTGCATGCTGACTACTGATATTCCCTTCTCTCTTATGTCTGTCTGGTCACCTGAGATTGCCGCCATCCATCTGTGCAGATACTGATAGGTGAAAAAGGTTAAGACCCAGGGAGCCTTCTACTTTCTTGTGCATGGCAAATTAACATAGAAGCGGTGGGAGGGAGGAGCCTGATTTCACTAGCCAGTGCCAATCAATTCTGATTGGGTGTCCTTCCTCTGTTGTGACTGCTGCTGGGGGATGGGGTGGAACAGTGTGTGGGGTAGGATGACTGGGGTTTTTGAAGGGTTTCTACAATGATGGTTTGTGGGGAAAGTGATGTTCAGGCTTTTAGCACAACTCCCCCTACTTAGCATCATTGTTTAGCAAAATGCTATTCCTGATTTAATTAACACTTCAATTAGATGTGATTGCATAAATACTCTGCTAATAACAACAGAAACCCGCTTGTAAACCATGCAACATTTGAAGGAGTTTTTCTCATTATAGCAATGACAGCAATCTTGTTACACAAATGATAATTAGGTGTCATTAGTACATACAAACTGGGTTAATTAGGGAGCGGGAGCACAAACACTTGAGATGGACTGATCAGAGTTCTAGTATGACATTGTTAAGAGCAAATGCAGCTAAGGGTAGGGCTACAGAATTATCACTCATATCAGCTATAGAGCTGGACCAAAAACAAAATATGAATACACAGAGAACCATCCATTATGGAATGTATTTTATCATACTCTCAGGCTCCCCCTTATCGTGCCAAGTTTTTTCTTCTTTATTCATGGAATATTCCTGTGGTAATCTGCAGTTGCTCAGAGCATCCCCCCGCTGCTACAGCAAGATGGTAGACTCACACCTGAACTTTGATACTCTTTAGAATAATTGCATATCAGCATACAGCATCACTGTGGTGCACACCAAACAAGCTCTTATGCATGGCAAAACCCCCACTGTTTGCATAAGCCCATTTATTATGAGTGATAGTGCTGCCTTCACTGACATTTCGTAAACTGGAAGCGCCTAATCTTGTTTGGGCTTGATACTTATTAAAATAGCATAGTCAGACAGCCGATGTCCAAAGTAGCACTGGCCATATCCTGATAGGCGTTGTGTTTTTGGTTACAAATATAAATACATTTGTCTTGTGGTGGGCTGGCTGGCTAAGTGCATTTGTGCCCAGTGTTCTGTCTAAGATGAGAGGATCCTTGTGGCTGCCTGCCTCAGACACATGATTTCTAATCTAAATGTAGCAAACAATAAGACATGGCAGAATATGAAAAAGTTCAAAATGGCTGGCCAGAGAGTGCCTCTATAATCCACCACAGCTGGGTCAAACAGCAGGCCAGAAGAAATGTTGTCAACATCATATGGAGAAGATCAGACGTTGCTTCTGTGGAATAAAGGCAGGTGGAGCGGGACCCATGATTGTGATATGAGGGTCAGCAGCAGCTGAAGACAGGTGGGGGTAGTGTTGCCAAAATAATTGAATTCAGCAATGGCTGACAGATATCTGAATGTGACTTTGTGCAGCTCAGATCCTTTATCCCTTCTCACTATGAGTATTGACAGCTAAAAACAACAGCCATTATCTGTTAATTACATTAACATTTTATCAGTGGTGGGTTGTTAGGGTGCATGTCCCGCAGCTGGAGGATAGCTGTCAGTCTGCAGTACAAGCATGGAGGGGGTGGAGAGGGGGCTGAAGGAACAGACCCCAGAGAGGAAGCCCTGCAGGAAAAAGGGCCTTCACTCCGAGCTACCAAGCTGCCCCCACACCTCTGCCCCTTCCAGTCCTAACAGGGAGGCTGCTGACAGGGGCTCAGCACCAGCTCCTCAGTTGTCTAGTCCACAAAAGGCAGGCCAAGATAACCGCTGACACCTGCCAAGCTATCCAGTCTCAGGGCCAGAGACTCAGATTCAAACAAACTACTCAGGACAATGGACTTGAGACACATGCAGGTGTGTGATCAATGTCATGCTGCAACTCTCAGTGAGAGCTAAAGGTGGAGCTGTTGGCTCTGCAGCCTTCTGTTCCAGCTTTAATTGTACTGGACTCCTTTTGTGTTTATCAATGGACACTGCTCTCTGACTCTGTTGGCCCTGCAGCTCTTTTCTCATTACACCTTTCATATGTTTTATTTATGCTGTCTGTAGAGTGGCCAGCTCTGCCTGGGCACTGGCAAGGCTGGCAGTGCCAGAGGACAATAAAGAGTGGGCGCCAGCTAGCGCTACAGGACTTGGCAGTAGACTCACTGTGATAGCCTTAGTCAGGAAGTGTAGGGGTAGTTTCGGCTTTGCCCTGCAGGTCCTTGGGGTGAGCCACAGACCTCAATTGCATTACCCTTTGGCTAGTGAGGTTCCAGCCGTGGGGACAGCCCTGCTCCACCATGCTCCAGGCTCTGTTTATTGATTGGAAGCGGACTTATAACTTAATATTTCACCTGCTTATTCCTCCACTGAGCCTGCTTTCTGTCAGAGAGGCGATAGCAGGATCAATGGGAAACTTGTCTGAGCAGGGGAAGGTCCCAGCAGGGGTTGGCTGCTGATTGACGGAAGCCCAGCATCCAGCTGGCAGCGGGACAGCTCATGGTCAATGAGAAAAGCCACGTCACTCTGGCTACACTGGGTCTTCTCGCGATTAACAACATTATTTTGCTGCTACAAGGGATGGTGCTGCAGTGTCCAGTCACTGAGGGGTTAACGACCAGCAGCTGGGCTGAATACACACAAACACATATACCATACACCAAACCATACACAAAAATGCTAAGAACCATTGCTGACAAAGAGAGAGTAAGAAAGAAAGAGATATCAAGTGTAGTAATCAAAATGAAAAATGGGTCTCCGGCTACTTTAAACAAGAGCTAATTTATCACCAGAAAGTACGGATAAGTAGCTGAGTTGTTGCTGTTCAGTAAGTACCCGTTCTGCACCAAATTATTCCACCCCTGCCTGCGTGCAACCATAAATCATACACTTCCACATATCTTTTCCTATTAGCAGCCGTGCTAGGCATGGGCGCGTACTCAGCTACCAAACACAGACTAATAGGCTACAACTTTTAATTTTGAGAATGCAACTCCCCCTTCAATGCTCCCCTCCTCCAATCCCTCATACTCTAGTCATCCCCCAGACCCACAGCCCACAGCACAATATTCACATTATCACATACAAGAGCATTACACAATCATGTTTATCACCATGCCAACCATTCATGAACCCAATTGTAAATGCTGTCCTCCCTCCTGCTCCTCGCTTTGTGTAGTGTGACTTGGGGGCTTCATGTTACAGACAGGAACACAGCCCACCTCTATAGATAGAGCCGATTTAGCTCTGGACATACTGTAGTGGAAAATTCTGCTAGTACTGGGCATCCCATGTGTAGACCCACTGATAGAGAAGACTGATAGAGCTAGAACAAACCAAACGGTGATGAGAAGGAAGAAACCAGAATAGATGTAAGACATCACAGTTTCAATGCTAAGAAAAGGACCCACAGGACATTCCTCCTTCCAAGAAAGAGTCCAACATATGAACCCCCTGAAAAGCAGTGAACTGGCATTTTGATAACACTTTAAATTCCAGCTTATTCCACTTTATTTCCAAAAGAATTTCCCAAGATGTTTTCTGGAACAAACCATGTAATTAGGCACCAATTACAGGTAAAAACAGAAACTGATCTGTTGATACACTTCTAAATACAAAGCTAGCAGAAGCTTGAAGGTTTTATTCAGAGGACAAAAAATGAGCTACACATAAAAAGTGTGAAATTTGTCTACAAAAAAAAAAAAAACCCACACAACTTAACATTAATGAAGAACAATATTTTAAATAATAAATAAATAGTAAACATTAACTGGGGTTCAACAATCTGAGTAATTTATTTAATGGAAACTAACTAACTAAAAAGTCTTAGAACTCTATCTCTTATTTTGCTGTAATTAGAACCAAATTGCATAATTCTCTCAAGAAAACTTTAAAGAAATAACGAACCAGTAAAGACTATACTTTGGTTTTAATCTGGACTAAGCAAATGAGAAACAGCATGTTAATGAGTGAGCTTCACAGGTGCATATAACATGCAGACAGAACCAAGCTCACTCTTTTCCCCTGTTTCCAGTCTTTGTGCCAAATTAAGCTTCTGCAATCTGCACATTTGACAAATACATGTGAGAGTGGCATTGATCTTCTCATACTCTCTGCCAGCAAATAAATGCACATGCTGTATTTTTCAAAATGTTGAACTATTCCTCTAAATCAACTGGAGACAACTAGATGTGCTTACGTTTTTAATAAAAACAACCCCTCTCAAACCCCTCTCCTCAATGGAATAACAACAAAGGCACAACAAAAGCCAGAACAATAAATTCATCACACATACATGTGAGTTAGACTGGGAAGTCCCAGGAAAGACAGCTGCTCTAGCCCCAGTCAAATGCTAAGGGGACATTATATGTGATGGATGGAGTCTTTGACTTCCAGAAGAAGTGGCATGATGGCCTGGCGTCTCTCTGAAGTGCTCCGCTCACATTGTGACCAAATCCTGTTATGTCCCTGTTTCATTGTGGTGACAGCATGAGGAATGCTTGGTTTTGTTCTCCCCACTGTTGCTATCCATCATCTGTGGAAAAAAAGAAAGAGAGCGCAGTAGCACCTTCCACTTCCAGCAGACATGCACACTCCTCTCTCTTTCTCTCTGTTGAGGCATCCTGTCTTTGCCAGTGCACACTCATGTGTTGTTAAATTATCCCTCCTGTTTTTCACATAACCCACACTCCATTCCAGTGGAGCTCTCTTTACAGGGCATGTGAAAGGACAGAAGAGGAGGTATGCGCTCCAGCTCTATTCAAAAACACTTAGCTCGTAAACACAACCCCCACCTTCCCCAATCAATCTGCTACTTAAATGCGGATGTAATTTGAGCTCAGTCAATGTGCTTGGTGTTGAAAGCATCCTGCCTGGTTTTCCTATAACCTGGAAAAAAGAAAAACACTAATGTCCAAGCATCTAATTAAAGCTTGAGTCTCACTTGATCACATTCTGGAGCGGTCAGTGGGTGGGAGGTGTAATAGTGTAATTATCCCCCCCCCCAAAAGTGGTTAAAGCTAATATTTAATTAGAAAATAAACAGAAAATGGCGGCCTTGGTATCCAATCATGATCAATGAAGCAGAGCAAGGACCTATATCGTAATGGGTGGGGGGGACTCCCAGCTTATATTGCCACATAAAAGAATCATAATTAGTCAGACTTAATTAGCAGAACATTACAGAATTACTACGCTGCACAGCAATGCCTTTCATGCTTGTGTGAAGAGAAAGCAAGGAGACAACTAATCAATGACACTATCATTCCACTGATATGGATAGTGTTTATATACTGCAAACCTACCAGTACTTTGACTGTAACACAATCCAGTGCTTCACTTCACAATAGCATTGTTCTTTTTCATTCATTACTTTCCATTACAATTAGATTTAAAGGCTGGTGCTTGGCAATACCCAAGTTGAGTGCTGTCAGTAAGGATAAAACATAATAACTTGTATGTGGTTATTTACTGAGGAATATCCCACCTCGGGTAAAGTGTACAGACATGCTGTAATTCTGTTGTCTAATAAGCATCCAGTACCTGGCTCTGCATGTGAGTGTGTATCAGTGAGTGTGACTCAAACTCAAGTGCTGAGATCTTATCTCATAAAGAGGCTTATAAATGTACAACTATCTCATGTCACATAAAGGAACCCACTGATTTATTTCTATTGATCAACTGCCGGGGGGGCCACGACAGCCTTGTAACGGAAATCAACACTCACAGCCAAGGCAGTCAGGCTGCACTGAAACATATGCACACAAGTCGTTTGCCGGACTATACGGATTAAAATGGAAATTATGCATGATTTATCACGCTTCATTTGAAAGGAAGTCCATGAAAAGAATCACGGCATACACTGCAGAAAGACCAGTGGACAGGTGGACATACAGAAACACATGAATATTGCAGAAGGGAAACTGCAGCACTCCATCCCCAACTTTGGCAAGATTTTAATTTTAAACAAGTGGAGTAAACTGACACGCAAGTTTTCTAAGTGTTTATGTGACATCACAGCTGACCAGTGCTGGACAATGACCCTCAACCTGTCTCTGTATGGTGCCCCAGAGGTGTCATAAAAGCTGGGCAGGGAGCTTTGCTCGGGATGACAGAGTGCCAGGCGCTCTCCCACCAGGACCTAATTTCCCCCTGTGAAAATGGATAGCACGTCCATAGCGTAGCTTAGTTTAAAATGCAAAATGTGGACATTATCTGGCATGGAGATTCAGCAGCATCCATCACACTATGCTAATGCAGCCCAGTGGTTAAGATATTCTAATGTAAGCCACCCTGGAGATGTAGAGGAATTAACACAAACAGAACGGGGCGGCGGGAACACAGAGGGGTCAGGAGATAGGACAGGGAAGCTACTCCTGAGACAGGCGATGCCACACACACACACACACACACACACACACACACACACACACACACACACACACACACACACACACACACACACACCAATGTTTGGTGCATGTGCACATGCAGACATGCTCATACACATTTGCATGTGTGCATTTGCAGGCACACATGCTAAAAAGACACCACTTAAATCAAGCTTCATGTGAAAATTTGCACAGTGCTGTCCCATAATAAGATCATGTCATGATTGATAAACTGATATCAACTGCAGGAATATTCTAATAGATATACCTTGGTGTTGTTTAAAGCAGATATCAATCAATTTTCAAATGAACACCCTACTTCTAATCCCTATTAGGCATACCAGCATTGTCTGACAGCACCACTACTTGCTCCCATATTAGCTCATTCTCCAGTCAGACTTTTTCTCCCTGGCTGAAATGATTTTTCTATTTACCTTACAGTTGCAGGAGCAGTGAGCCTGTTTTCCCTGTCCTCCAGGCTGTTTGCAGGTCTGTGCAGAGTCCCAGCAGAGTTCTTTCTCCTCAGCTTAGCAGTGCTCATGAAAGCCCTGTCCAGTCCCCTGCTCTGCCTGCCAGAGCTGTAAGGAAAGGCATTATTATCATTATATTAATGTGACATTAATTGCTTTTACTTTTTCACTCCATTAAGTGTGCTCTATCTCTTTGGGAGCCTGGCCAGATGGTTTATCACTTCCCATGCTGTTGGTAGCACCATTAATGGGCTAAGACACTGGGCTATAAAATAATTGCACCGCAGTGTTGGAAATGTTCATCGCGCTAATTGAAAAGTAATTGCGGAGGTATAGTGCAACTGTCACGCCATAAAAGCCTGTCATAGGAGAGGAGGAGGGCCTTCTAGTAAAAGGCTATTGTTTGCAGTCATACAGTACAGCAAGTGGTCAAAGCAATGGGGGAACAGACTTTATGCTAAATGTTAACAGGGGCAATGATCCATTCAAAACATGATTCTTTTATTATTCACCACCCCACATATTGACGTAATAAATATATCACAAGCACTCCCTTTTATAATGTAGCGATTTACATAATCTTAGTGTTTTGTTATGTCTGTAAATCCAGCCTACATATTGTAAAATTAACACTGTGAGCAGGAGTGTATGAGTCAATTAAAGGTGTAAAATGACAATACAAGTCCTACACTGCAGTGTAAGTATACAGTGCAGGCAGGTGTCTTCTGAAATAGAAAGGCATGTGATCAAAGCAGGTATATCATAAAAGAGATGTCACTGAGTAACCTGTAAACTCTGCTGATCGCAGTAAAGGCTACAGCCATACATGCCTGCAGAAAGTGGGATGAGGAAGCAGACAAAAGCAAGCAATACAGTACATTCTCACTTTTGTTTGCCCTGTGCTTTCTCCTGAATAATCTAACATTCCCTAGTGTGTGTGCACATGCATACAGTGACTGGCTTTGTACATGTGTACTGTATGTGCATCTTCACAGGATACCGCCTCAGATGAAAACATTTAGTGCATCCCTGATTTTACTCTGTGCTACATATCTTGTTGAGACATAAATCAAAATTACCATTTCAATAACCACAGTGCCACCAGTAATGACATATGATTTACTTCTAATGAACTTTGGATATTACATTGCAGAACTAAGAGCAGTAAATCGTTAAAGTGTTAATTTAACATTATAAAATGCCATTAAGCCGGCAATTAATCAGCTTGAAAAATAAAAACCAAAGATTTTACTGCTCCCAAACCTATAGATTTCTAATTTCTTCACAATACTGAGTGCTGGGAATAAATTCCCCCTGCAAGTTTTTAATGGGAGGAGGATTCTAAGAACTTTAATCTTGGCACAACTTGCATTGCAATAAATGTTTGAAGTGAGAAATATTTAAAACAATATGGGACAAACATGTTCAAAAGTAGTTTTCTGAAACACATGACTTTGAGATGTGGATGCAATAAAGTGAGGGTCCATAGTTTGTGTCTGTCAGAAGGGCCAGTGGTGTTCGTATAAGCCATCATTACTAAAACAAAGCAGCCACTTGATGCTTATCAGCCCTTCATCGACTCCTCTTCTGGCCCCTGTCGCCCAGCCAATCCAGAGTATTGACACCCATTGACTGAGACTTGAGGAAGAGCAGGATGGTGAACACAGATCAGGGTCAGGGCAGGGGACTGGGATGTTTGTTTGTGTTCATTTTAGATGCCCATATTCCCCGACATGAATCCAATAGTGTTGCAATGCCTATGCTCCAAAACAGTGACATGAGTTGTAAAAAGGCCTGAAATTGGAGTGAGTGATTCCAGCAGTTTTGATGTCACATTTATTGCTTCCTTTTAGTTTCTTTTTGATTCTTTGTACTTGCAAAATGATCATGTACACTGTAGTATCAACTGCAAACTGGGTGTGTGGGCCGTTGTGAGGAAGGAATATATTTCCTGTAGGTCAAGCAACCAGCATGAACTGTGAGCTACCTCAACCCTACAGTTTCTCCTCCCTTCATCATTTTCTCCACCTTCCCAAGGATTTGAAGCATAGTCGCACCCTCTCCAAATTCCCCCCTCAAGGGCTTCGGGGGGCAGCTTCTGTATGTCAAACTAAAGTGAAAAGTGTTCCTACAGTATTTGTTCTTTATGTCTCCATTTGCCATCCTCATTAGGCCCATTCATGAGCATTTAGAGCTCCCCCCTGCACATCCACACACCACCTGGGTCAGCTCAGTGCACCTTTCCCAGTCAAATAACTATCATTACAATCCTATGTGTGCAGGTGTGTGTAAAAGAGAGACAGACAGAAAGCAAGAGAGGCAGTCACCTGCAGTATATAGATGATCATACTAATGTAATATTGATTGGTCTCAGTCACCATGGCATCAGGACAATAGTCCAGTCCTGCTGGCTGCTGGTCAGTCTCCCAGCAGCCTCGTCTGTCTTTCTCTCCTCCCCCACCTGGCTGGCTGGATGATCCATTCTGCAGCAGATTTAAAAGCATCGCCCTCTTTGTCTTTGCATATACCAACTAGCGTGTAGGACAACAGTGTCAGAGGACAAAATCTAAATGTAGTCATAAACTTGGCAGATCCACACAGTCGTAAATCTCTGATGCATCGTCTTTGCCTCTGTTTCTCTCTCTCTCTGTTGATGCCCGCTGGCCTGTCAAGCCTCAAAGGAAGAGAAAACAAGAATGGGGCAGTCATCAGGGAGGAAGAAGAGTGTGAAAATACAGTGAGGTGAAGCGAGTACAAATGTTGAGCTCAGAGAAACCAGTCCCCTCTGAGTCCATGAGACAAAATCATTACATTCAGCTCAGGATTCATTCTCACAGTAGACTGCTTTTTTTACACACACATGGAGAAACTTCTGAATATCTGATACAAAACACAATGGTGACAATGTCATTTGGATTCCAAATATCTGAAGCTGTGTCTTCATTTGTTTTGGCTTGGGCAGCTGTGCCGCACCATCCGTCAGAAACAAGGGATTTTCAGCAGAAAACACACAGCAGAAGAGAAATGTGGCTGATGAGAAGAAAGTCAGAAGCAAGCAGCTGATTTTCTTGATGTCTCCACTGCCTGAAAACAAAGAGCGCAGGACTCCATTTTCGATTCAAGTGAGTGATTTGCATAGAAAAGTTCATAACTACGGGACATAAGGATATGGTCATAAAAGAGGGCAATAAAAATTTTAACTATGACAGAATATTAAAAGTGGCAGTAAATTGAAGGCAGGCTGCAGAATGACCCTTTGTAGAGTGACTTCCTTGGTTGGGACTAATAATCTCAGCATGTGAGAGGGGCAGTCACTGTACACAGAGAATAAAACATCTCCTGCCGACCCCTGACAGATATGGTTGTCTCTCACACTTTCATCCTGCTGGATAGTTAAGATTTAAGATAATGACACAACGACTTTCACATTGATGCCGACATTGAATCTTTTTAAGATGCCTCCTGCTACCGAGCCGGGACGGCCTGTCAGCCACTGGCAGTGAAAGAGTTGAATGTCTTGCGCATACTCGTTTCCTGATGTCAGGAAGAAATTGTTCGTAACATCGGCCCCTCACACTTGTCTCAACTCATTTATTTCAGCCAAGGTCTGCAGATATAAATAAAAGGAAATGTTACTGGGGCATTTAAACTCGGCACCAGCCTTGAGACCGGTAATGTAACCACATATCATCAAAAGTGCTGAATCTCCTTTTGTCACCACACATGACATGCAATTCCTCCAAACATATTCAGGTTTGTTGTCATTCATACAAATAAATAATCACAGGGAACCAGGACAGCCCTTTGAAGCTGACCTCTACAGTACAGACTGATCCTGTGACTAGTAAAATCAGATCTCTGAATTTATTTACCTCTCATGAGTGTTTTCTTTAACACAGTGGAGGAACAAGCACCTTCTCATTTGGGGGGATTTCATCAAGAATGCAGTTCAACAGGTGGTCTATAGATGGAGCTCTTCTCATTAGAATATACATAACATTGCACCACAAGGCTGTCCTAGGATAACTGTGAGCTGTCCTTCATTCTTCAACAGCAACAGAGCTGAGCTGCAGTATGGGCTCTACCTTAACATGCTCTCTCTAAGCAGGCTGCTAGAAAACAAACATGCTGCCTCACTGAGGGTAGAGAGACAGAAGTTTTTGACTTATACAAATATAGTAATAGTTTCTCTGCCTTACTTAACACACTGGACCCCTTGTGAGTGAGTGTCAAACCACAAACCACTGGGTCCCTGGAGCAGTATGACTTAATTGAGCTATCTTGGGAAATCTAATTACAATAATGCACAGAGGGTTGTGTAATATTCCCTCTGCTTCTGCTCTAACACCTATCCCTCACACACATGCATTCTAATGCATGTGCCTTCACACACACACAAACACACAAAAATGGGAGGGAGGGTGAGAGGAGGCACACAGACAAGGATGTGTTAGGAGGTTGTGGATAAGCAACTGCAACAACCATAAATAATTTCACAGGAGGTGTTTTAATCACAATTCATGGGCCAGTAAACCTTTACATGGCAGTCAGTCAGATCTGCTGGACAGTGAGGACAAACCAATGACAGTGTTACATGATCAAAGAGCGAGGCACGTGTACAGGCACAAAATTAAGTTGCATCTTTGTTTTAGCAAATTATTACTGTATCAGAATTTGTATAATGAAAAACAATTTAGCTGAAGGTGGACAGGTGACACAGGAGAGCAACATCTGAACAAAAGCACACTTAATTTGCTCATTTAATGTTACACTGTGCAGCTCGGCAATAATCATATCACTGTACAGGGTTGTTGTGCAGATAGCAATTCAAACGTGGCCATATGCAGTGTATGTCAGTGTTGCTGAGACCAGGAGAGAAAACTGAAAAACATACACACACATTAGGTTACTGAGATTTCTAATTTTCTGACCCGACCATGCTCACTGGCAGTATAAATTCCTCCTAAAACGCCTGTCAATACATGAGGTTTTTACTGCAAAAAGACAATGAAAAGAATCTCATCCACGTCCTTTGAAGGCGCTGATGATTGTCAGGCATCGACTCAGAGTGACAAAAAGTGGCACTTGGTGGATACATTTTCCACTTGCACAAGTGACATTAAATGCTGTGATTAATGACCTAATAAGGGAATAAATTTGTAAGATTGTGTCAAGTAAAATTTAGTTTTGTTGTGTGGTGCAAAAACAGAATGAGCTGAAATGCAGGTGTGATTTGTATAATTCCTTATAAAGTCAATATGTGTGTATGTGTGTGTGTGTGTGTGAGGTCTGTTTGTGATGGAGTGCAAGGTCAGAGGGACACAGGGGAGGGGGGTGGGGTGGTGAGCTAGGAGGGGGATGCTACTGTGCCCAAGGCCATACAGACGGACACCATATTGAAATTAGCAAATGGACTGCATAGTGTCGCTTGCTGCCCCATTTGCAGCCCCTTCTTCTCAGGGTGATATACAGATGCACCCAGTGAAGGGACATCAGCGTTTTAAAGGGGCAGCAGGGTGCGGTACGGGGGTGTAGCTAACCTCCCCCCCAATCCTAAAATGAAATGGGTCCTCTCTTATTTATTTACAGCATGTTTTGCACTCATCCCATAACACTGTAAATTACCTGCATGGTCAAGGATCCTTTCTCAGGCAAGGATAGAGGAGAGAAAGGGACATAAAACATGAGATCTATATGATATTTAATTCAGGAATCACATATGATCTGTCAATTTCCATATATCACACTTTAGGGGTCATATTTTAAATACAAAATCACATTTATGAATATAAATGTGTGATTTACGAGTGGTAATATGTCCTGTATGATGTACAGTATGTCTATAGGCCCCAGAGAGAGTGTCTTGCCAATATTTATGAGATTTCCACAGTATATCTCATAAGAGGATAAGGGATGGATGATTTCCTAGCTGGGGTCTTAGGTGGTTGATCACATATCTGTTTCTGAATACAGTCTCATCATGTTATTGACTGTTTCACTCCCATCCATATTTATCTCCTTCTCAATTGCAAATGACATGAAAATGGAAGTAAGGATGATCACAGTGGAAAACCAAAAAAACCTCATTAAATGTATTGTTATAAAACATGAAGATTTATTTGATACAAGAAAACTTGATACTTGGTTGAACTTAATTACACAGCAAAGCAGTCAGTAGTGGAGACAGCAGTCTCCCTCTCTCCCTCTTTCTCTCTGTGCCTCTGCAGAGAGAATTCCATCAGAGGGAACTCTCTCAGGACCAGACCTGGTCTCCAGCTGAAAAAAGGCAGGGGCCTCCTCCATTATGGCAAAGAAGTACATTTGCTTTAAGGCCAGTGGAGAGTTCTAACCTTTGCTTGACATCCCTAAAAGGTCAGTCCCATCTGTGGCTTCCCTCTAGAGTTGAGCCTGACCGTTTCCTCCCCGCACCTCCCACAATCCATAGTACAAATGACAAATAACACACGACAAAATTAGGATTTTTGCTTAAATAATTTCTCACTAATTATTGAATCTTTGTCACAATATTTAGCAACTTAATACATGTATAATTAATTAGGATCAATTGATATATTTGTTGGGAAAAATCATAAATGTCCAAAATTAAATTATTCATTTAAAATATAAGAAATTCTAATATTTGATTTCACGTTTAAAAATTACCACCCCCCCCCCAAGAAAAAAAGCCTAGCAAATGTGAACGTGTACACTCAGATGAAGCAAATGTCTTCAATAATGTGTTAAAAGCCTGTGAAATGAGTATAAGTACCATTCTGGGTGAGTTTTTCCCCATTTGATGGGCGTATACATGCTTGTCTCTGTTTCTTATCGCTCTTCATTATTTCCAAACCAGTGGTTAAATTGGAAATGCCCATAAGATCTTGTGAATATATGGCAGAGGCCATAAAACAGTAAGGAGAAGAGCCCCACATCCCACAACAGTGTTTTCCATTGGTGGAAGGAGATACATTCAGCAGATAGTTGGAAATATTTCTACTCTCCCCACAGCTTCATATCAGTGAGTAACACAGATAAAGATACAGTTGGGCAAATAAATCTCAAATGAAGGAGCAAAACCCTTCACGTGCAGTTATCTTGTGTGCATGCAGTGTGTGTATACATTTTATTACCTACCTGTGCTTGTGTTCCTACGATGTTCGAGTGTTAGAGAACCCAGGTGCACAGATTTTTGCTAAAAGCAGTATTTCCTCTGCAGCACTGCAATGTCACGGGCATCCTGTGTGGTGGCACTCCTCTCTGTATCCTTTAGGACCTGTTCTCTGGGGATTTTGTGGGTTATCAGCTGAAATCATGAAGCTTGCTCATGCAACTCCTTTTCAAGGAACCACAATTTGGTAAACAAACATAAATGTCACTTATAAAATACAAGGCCTGATATAATATTTTATCTCTTTTCTAGTTTCAGGCTTTTCTCTGACACCTACAACAGATTGATATCAGATGAAAGTGGAGATTCAAACTGTACTTATGCTGAGAGTCTCACCCTTCACTGTACACTATGATTGCATAAGGGTTTGATGAAACCCACCTGAGTGATCTGACAAACTGGGACAAAGGTCTGCTGATGGCCATTAGGTTTTTTTTAGGACAGCAGCTCAGCCATGCATTAAGTGGTGAGGAGAGCAGGCATGTAACCTGATAAATGCACTTAAAACAGTGAAGATGGACAATGAGAGTGTGAAATCTCAGATGGCAGGGTCAGTGTGTCTGCTAGGCACTTTGACAGCCTATTGATCAGGCAAAGCGAGGCTTGGGCAGGGTCAGAGGTGCTGGGATCCATGGCTCAGACACTGTTAGTGGTACAGGTACAGGACACAGGTAACCAGGACCTACTGTATTAAGATATAGATCTGCTCTTGAGCCAGTTAAACTGTCCTTTCGTTGATGCTCAGACATGTTGTTGACTGCTGGCACTCAGAGTTTCTGCTGTGGAGATGGGTGAATTTTCTTCCCCAGTATAATACACAACAACAATAAAACAATCTGTTTGTTGTTTGAAATTGATGTGATGTAAGGTTTCTGTCTGGAACATTGATAGCCCACGGTTGTGAAAATGCCCAGTTCCTGTTATTCAATAGTAATAGGCATGTCGGCCGGTGCCTCCAATTTCACAAATGGAGCAATAAATACACATAACAGAATCAGTGGAACAGTAAGAATGCCCATAAAGGATGGTTGAGCCTCAGAAACAAGGAGACCACAGCAAGCTGAAGAGAAAAGGAGTGGGGTTGAAAGAAAATTTGACAAAGGAAGAGATAAAAAAGTGTGTGCATGTGTGTGTGTGTGTGTGTGTGTGTGTGTGTGTGTGTGTGAAAGAGAAACAGAACGAGAGAGAGAATGAGATGGTGGCCCACTCTTCATTTCTGTGCCACAAGCTCTCCTGGGCATTTGCGTGCTCCGTTTTCAGCCTAAGTGTAATTTGAGCCCCGGGTTGATACAAAGTGTATGCAGCAGCTCTGTTCAAACCCAATCACTCACCCTGACGTGTAATCCTTTTCCTCACCATCATCAACGTTGCTTTGGGAATAATGAAACACACTTAAGCAATACACAGCAGTCATACAGCTGCGAGCGGAGATGCATCTTGATGAGATGCCTCGTAACTCTAATGAAAGGTGTTTTGACCTGTCAGTGGAGGTAAATGATTGCCTTGCTACTGTATCTGTGAGAAACGTATTGATGGCGATATCTGGTCCAAATGGATGATTTGCATGAGAAATGAGGAGCACATTTCTTTTTAAAAATACAAGATGTGGCAACCGCGCTCTACATTTTATTTGCGTGGGCCTCAACATCTTTTTCTTTTCCTCAAGTCATCCTTTCTCTTGTCTTGTGACGCCACTGTTTTCATGTAGAGGATTACTACAATTAATTGGTTAGCAAGACATTATTTCAAAAAAAGGAAATTGGCTCTTATAATTACACAGAGAAGGGAATATGTTAACTCCCTGGAATATCAGCTTCCTGAAATAATGGAGCTACAGCCTCTCACTTCCCCCACCTCCATTAGCGTTAGTGTGTCTGTCTGCCTGTTTCCTGTGACGGATCCATTTTCAACAGCCCCTGGCCCAGCAGTGGCTGTGGCTGGTGACTGAATGGTTGGGTGGCCTGTGTGAATCTCTGATCGGCTTGCCTCATTACTACCACGCATCTGCTTTTTGTTCTGTCCCGTCAATGAACTAACAGACAGTATGTGACTGGTCATACTGGAATGCATAAACACACTAAGAGGGGGTTACTTGCTAGGGCTTTTTCACACATTTTAGAGTTATTAGGCTGTGTTTACATTAGCAGCATGGCTCTATGGCAACATCAGTCTCTTGGTTGGTCAGTGGCTATACCTTTTTGGGGATTTTGCTTAAGAACTGGTGAGATGTGAAATAGTGCTCATAAAGTTCCTTCTCAGGGTGCCACAGTTTGGCCAGAAACATTCTGAGGTTACTTTCTCTTTCACTAGCAGGGACCTGCCCTCACTCCTTACAAATGGAACTATAAGGATAGAGAAAGCTTGTGAACTTCATGATTTTGGGGAAGGCTAAAGAGGTCCATGCCCCTCTGGGGCACTGGCTGAACCCAAAAAATCTTAGGTAAGTTCAGAGACTGGAGGTTTAATTAAAACTAATTTCTAATAGAATACCAATTAACAATAAGAAAAGCCCAACAAAGTCTCCTTGAACAAACACTTGTCAACAGTGAGAATGTGAAACCCCCCAACAGACACCAGCCCTTGGTGGGAAGCCTTCTGCCTCGACCAGTTGGGGTGAGTGAATAGAGAAGATAAGCTTGAAGATATGTGAGAGACATGAATCAGAGAACCGTTTCACGGCCAACAGGCCCACAAAACCGGAGATGGAGCCGCCAGGAAGGGTGGGTGGGGAGAGGTTTGATGCCGGAGTAGGTGGCCGCAGGTAACCCGGTACCCGTGGCTGACAGGATAGGGGGCAGCCCGGAAGCAAAAGAAGAAATAAAGGAGGAAATGAACGGGGGAGAGAACAGGCCAGGAATACGGGACGACTGGGGAAAAGAAGAGGAAACAGAAAATCTTGCCAAGGAGAAGACGGCAGCCGCACCAGTACAGGAGGGGCGACCCCCAACAGCAGGAAACTGGCGGCCTCAAGCAGCTTGTATGGCTGGGGTGCGGGCGTGAGCGAGCGGTCCCGGCCAGAGGACACCCTCGGCGCCTATCCTCCAGGGCGGAGAGCCATCGGTCAGAATGCCATTGGAAGCGACCAGGTGGAAAGGACCGTAATACAGTGAAGAGAGAGTAAATCGGTGGTGAGTAGGGACACGCACGCTCTGGCAATAAAGGTTATGCGGAACGCCAAGTGACCAAACCAGAAAACGGGTCAGCGCACTTCCGCTTTTCTGCAGAACGCGGGTGACACAACAGTAGTAACGCGAAACACGTCCTTTGAGCTTGTTTTATTTGATTAGTTCATAGATATAAAAAACACAAATACCAGAAGCGGGATAATCCAAACAGTGATTTCTGCTACGTTCCCCAATGCGCGATGTCATGTAATTAAGAGGACGACAACAGTATGTAGTAGACACTTCGTCTCCACGGATGTAATTCAAGGTGGACGACAGCGTTTGAAAGAAGGAGCCGTTCCAGTGTTGTTTGCCTGGAATGACTACTCTCTGCCTGCAAGTAGACCAAGACTGTGGGAGAGAACGCAACGGCCGGAGGAAATTGAGGAGGAACAGATGGACGTCGGATTTCTGCTTCAGTGTCATGACTATGCTAGACCAGAACCATCAGCCTTGGACGTGCCATGTGAAAAATTAGAAGCCCAGCAGTTTGCGAATTTAGCATTTCCATCACACAAGCTTAGTTACAATTAGCTTTCCGGTAGTGTATTACATTATTTTGGTGTACCAGACAAATGCTCGGTGTAAATATCGATAACATTAGCTAGTTAGCTTACGAACTAGCTTAGCTACATCTCCATTTGTAAGATAACAGATACATAACTCTACCTTCGTAGTCGTGAATGTATGAAGAAGCATATAGCTTATTCGGCGGACATCCGTGATCTTCATCTTTGGTAGTTCTTGGAGACATCTTGAGTAAAACAGTGCCATATTTCATACTAGTTGCAAACCGGAAACGGATGATTCTGTTTTGCAGTATACAGAAGTAAGTTGCGCATAACCCATATTCAAACGAAAAGCGAAAACGGAAGTAAGGAGTTCTTTTTCCTTTTTTTCCTTTTTTTCCTTCTTCTTCTTCTTCTTCTTCTTCCTCTTCTTCTTCTTCTTCTGGTGTTTAGTGGCGGGGTGTCAGTTACCGTCACCTGCTGGGCTGGAGTGTGGAACGCTAATAGAGCCGTAGGAATACATCAGTAAGGAGGTTTGAGTGCGATAAAGAGCGTTAAAACCGAAGAGGCGTAGTCTGGTTCCGTTCCCGAACTTAATATAATTACAATATCTCCACATAGTAAAATGTTTTCCAGTAACTGAATCCTAAAGATTTGGGGATCCCCTGATTTGTTTTCTAGTCCTCTCAGCTTTTTGCTTATACTGTATATTTCATCATCTGATGGACTAGCACAAAATTGTGTAATTAACTGAAATTCATGGTGTTTAATTTGTCTAGCTCTATAGTTTATGGCAAAATACGTACAAAACTGACATTTCCATTAGCCTCAGGTGTAATTTGTATTTAGTCCTAATAAGCAAATATTGACATGGTTGAAGACATAATTCCTGAAAAGATGTTACCTTAAAGATTACCGTCTTGTACTGGTTGCAAATGATTCATAAAACTTTTCATCTTAGTTTAACTTTACAACAGATTTTTAGTCAGAACACAAAAGAATCACAGAGTTCAGGGAGTATTTAATTCATCGATCCTTTACGTTTTTGAAAATCAAAACATACTGTAAAAGTTACACAGATATTGGTGATTCAGTGATCAGAGATATCAATGTACACCATTGCCAAATGATCTTTTTCACACCATAAATACTCCAGGCACAGAAGCAGGAAATCTGTCACCTGCCCCTGTCTGCAATTTACCATCAAGGGACCAACTCTGACACATCAATCTTCATAAAAACACATACCTGCTTAGTAACCAAAATAGGGGTCACACCCACTGATGGCCAAGTCACGTGGTCAATGTGAAGCATGCTTTACCTTTTCTAACAGATGTGTGAAGAATGAAAGGGAAGAGAAGATCAGTAACTACTATTACAAATATTTTGGCAGAAGCACTGGGGGAGATAAATAGTTTTGATAAAAACATAAGTGGCTCAGGTATGTCACACACACATGAGGATGACAAAGAGCAGAAAGTGTTGAATCTGAGAAATATTGACAATATGATGATGATGAGGTAGTAGTCAGCAGGGCGCTGCATACTTTATTTTCAGTGGTATTCAGCAACCTACTGTATTGACGCTGATATATTTACACACTTATACACAGCTTGTAATATAAGACATGTTCTCTTTTACTTAACACAGTGCCATACTGTGAGAAAAGAAGGAAGAAGAGAGGGCTTCCATTGTTATGATTCTTATGGCTGATCACCCTGGGCCACTACAAAATTCTAGTTGCAAAGATTTTCTGCAAAAGTTTTAATTTATATTGCACTTTTATTGAAACAAGCACATCTTTTTGTCATGTATCAAATCAAATATAGATGTTCTTCTGATATACAGGATACATTTTATTTGATTAGAGGGATTTAGAATATGTTGCTTAACAGTGTACAAATTCTCCCAAATCTAAGTAAAAGCATGCTTGTAGCATGGTTTCAGTCAGAATTGGTCCCGGTTGTACTGCACAACAGCAAAATAACTTAGGTTATATTGTTACCCTCTGCAGTGGAACTTGTGAACTGGACAGCGGCTAGAAGGGGTTAGAAAGTCATCCTCCACCATATGTGGCCAATCAGGCTGTTTTTAAAAAAGGCATGCCAGCTACTGGATCTGTGCTGATATCGCAAGCATGGTAGCAACTCTACCCTACTGCAATGTCAGGGATTCCTCTGATCACAGTATCATATTGTTGTGACAGTGCCACAATTTATCACATCACAGAAAATCCTTCAGTAGTATGAGCATTCACCTCCAATACATTCTCTCTCATGTGGAGACAAGCGATACAGCTCAACTGGACTGGACTACAGCACTACTTACACCCAGGGTAATGGACATGAAGCTAAACACAGGGAGATTACAAGATCTCTTTCCCCTACCAGATATCACACCTTGTACTGACACACTGTTGGGTTTCTGTGACCCTTTGGAGCATGCTTACACTTTGTTTCTTGCATAGCTATTCACATGTGCATGCTTAGGCATCCAAAGCTCTCCTGACAGGTGCCCGCCTGCCTCCTTCCAGTGAGAAGGTTGATCCTCTGCACCGGCCATTGTGTCATTATGAGGTCAAGAAGAAGTGTTGTCTGCTGTACTCCTGGAGGAAGGCTGTGCAGACAACAACCTCCTGCCGGGTTAAAAATAAACCCAGTGTGAAGTGCACCCCACTCCAGCTCAGCACCTGCCATTTACCTCTGTTTGGCTGAAGCTCTATAAATGCAAGCACAGCTATTAAAAGACAGGAGGTGTCTAAAATGATGAGAGCAGATGCTGGGCACCTTGCTCCCCATGTGTGGGATGACTGTCACAGGCTTAAAGGGTCCCAAAATAGAACGGTTGACATATGGGCCACTGATTGTTTGAACATGGACTCTTCTGGACTTCTGCCACTCAGAATAAATCCTTTGATACTGCCATATAAAACCTACTGATCATCTTTCACACAGCCCAAATCAGATCATCTGATATTTGCATATCAAGAGGCAATTTTCACCGGCTTAAACAATAACCAAATCTGGGGATCAACAGGCTGCACAACCAACAAAAACCACCACAGGAGAGGAGAAACACACGTGTGCAACAGTGGTGCAGTGATGTGTCACCTGGTGGGGCTGAGATACGCACAAGCATTGTCTTTTAGCAACAGCAGCATTGACAAGCACATGAGGAGGTTAAGCCCAACTTCCCCATGGTTCCCTTTATTGCTGGGTTACTACAGAATGAGACGACTGACTACTATACCTGCCTACTGTATGCTAATTGGTTAAACATGGGACCAGCAAGTCTTCCAGTCTGAGACAGAGCCACAAAGATCACACAGGTTTACTGCTCTGGAGAGGTATATCCAAGGACGTTTAAACCGATAAGAGTTCACATTTAGGTAACAATTTTTGTTCTTTTTTTTTCCAGGAGGGGAACAAGAGAAAATGGCCACCAACTTCACCAGACTTTGAACTGTACATTCAGTCTTCCAATAATAAATATATACATGTCCTGGTTGAGTCCAGGCAAAAACACAACTGTGAGACAAGAGAGTTTGTTTATGGTTGTTGACAACTCTGCTGTCAACAGAACAAAGCTTTTTGAAAAAAGGAACTGATTTTTTAAAATCAAGAACTAGCAACTACTTATTCTGAAGATGCTGTGGAGCAGAGGGCTCCTTCATATATAACATGACCACTGACAGCAAAATACAACAAAATCATTACTGTACATAGTATTTCTTATATATTTTAAATTAATCTGCATCATTTTTATATTTATACTAATAACCAAGATTTGCATTTGTTTTTTTGATAATGTCCCAGGGTCCCAGGAGGAGGAGGAGGGAGAGAGGTCAGCCTCTGTCCTGTCCAGCACAGTCAGTGGGGTCTCCTTCTCCTGAATACCCTCCGCCTTGGTTCAGGTCACTGTCTGTATCACTAATGCAGCCCTCCGTTGTTGCCAATCAGCCACTCTCTGATCAGACCTTGGCCTCCAGCATCTCCAGGAAGAGTTTGTGCATGGGCACCTTGCCCTGCACCTTGATGCTGTAAAAGTGCTGCACGGCTTTAGTGGCCGTCTGCCGCAGCAGGGGCAGGGTCATGAGCAGCTTGCCCGCCCGCCGTGGGTCCTCCTGGTGCTGGCTGGTCTCGTAGTCCTGTAGGGCCTCGTGGAGAGCGTCCTGAAGCTTCTGCACCGCCTCCATATCCTCAATGTGCATGGAGTCTGGCAGGACGAGAACACAGAAGGGAGCATGAAGACTGATAGATTTTCAAATTTGAAAGAAAAGTAACTTGTAAGAAATGTAGCTTGCACTTTGAGACACTGGTAATATAACAGGAGTGATGGGAAATGGATGTTTCTAAAACAAAATTAAATCTCATGATTGATCTTTACTGCTCTGTCAGTAGCAGTAAGGTAGGAACACATTATCAGCATAACTCATACCCTGACAAGATAAAGAATAGATCATAAAAACAGAAAAAACAACATCTGCTTTCCTCTATTTATTTATATATTTTTTCTTTAGTGGCGTGGGCGGGATATTCATGTGGCCCTTGACCAGCGAGACTGAAAATCAATGTTATCCTCTAGTAACAATGGCACAAATAGCACCCAATCTCTGCTGAGTGAGTACACATTAAACACCTCTCTGTTCCTAAGGACAGATTGTTTCTGAAAAAAAAAGAAACAAAGAAGGAAAAGAAGAGGCTGTATTGGAGAACTGGACACCTTAAACAAGTGTGACATGAATACAACACTTCCTTTAATTTCATTTAATGAATTCTTGTCCTTCAGTAATGTTTCTGACCATCAGAGTAAATGGGTTTATTTGACTGCTGTTATGCCAATATGGGAGTGAAAGCTCACAAATTAAAATTTTCCTGTGATTTTTTTGGTATTATTTTATTTTTTTCTGGAAAGTGAACAACAAAAACTGTAAGTCTCGCAGCTTCAGCCAGCACAATTGTTGTGCTGCCGTTTTTTACTGATGCTACTGAACATCATGTTACAGCACTTCCCTGTCATTCTCACCTTTCTCTGCCTCTGTTTCTATCTCCCGGCCGCTCTCAGGGACAGTCCGGGGTTGCGTTTTCTCTCACTGGTTAACCAGTGTCTGACACTCTGGAGGCGGCGTGTCATTGGCTGCCTGACTCGTCTCACCTTGCCGGTGCATATTTTACCACACGGGACAATAAAAGGCAAAACAGATTTCAGACTTCGCCCCAAATTCATTGACTGGAACAACTGTATTCCCAAGTCCTTGAGACATTTCTCACCCTGACGGTTTTCAAATCCACAGTGGTGAAATGAAGTAGGTCGTTTTGTAAAGTGAATGTGGGAGGGAGGTGAGAGGAGGATGGAAGAACAAAAGGCAAGCAAAAAAATTTTTTTTTTTTTTGTTGAGGATGAGGTGTGACATAATTATGTCTTTTGTGTCTTATGTTCTTTTCATAGAGGCTGGATTCACAACCTAACAAATCGCATTATCAAACCAATATTTTGTTTTCACCTTCTCAAACACACACACCTTAGTAATAAACCTGATTTGAGGTGCACTGTGATTAAATGTTTTGCAATGAGGGGGGAAAATGAGGAGAAAATAAAGAGATAGAGACATCTCAACAGATAGGAAGGGAAAGCGGGCAGCAGACAGCGAGCGCACCGCTTGCAGTCCTTGGAGGAGGGGTAGACTTTAAAAAAACAACTTTGAAGAAACAATTTCCTTGCAATCCATCAGTGAGCCCACGTCGATCCGATTGATAAACTGCTAATTACAAAATCAATCGCTATGAATTTTCACAGCTGTCAGGCAGAGGGGCTCCCGGGAGAGTGATCTCCCAGAGACCTTGTTCTCACGTTCCGGACACCCTGTTCCTCCTCCTCTTCGTCCTCTTCTCTCCACGACCCCCGTGCCTCCTCTCCCCCTCACCCCACCTCCTTACTCAAGCTCTGTTGTCTGAAAGCAAAGCCCCACCATCAGCATTTTCATTTTTCAGCCCCATACAAAACAAGTGAAAATGGCCTGGTGACCCAGGCGTGCATTGATCAGAGCGGGACAGGTCCTGCCTCCTCAAAAGGAGCCTGTCAATAGCAGCGTGCCGTCTTCACATTGGAACAAACGAGGCCTATCACTCCCTGATACACATTCCATTCGGCTTAACACATTTTATTGACAGCCCCTGTGCTCCTAATGAAATGCTAAATTTATCTCCCGTGGCTGCTGTGCCCTGCAGCTACTGTTATGGAGATAGAGAAATAGAGGGAGGGTAGAGAGAGCGCAGGAGAAATACCACAACATGGAAGGTGTTCAATTAAAAAAGCTCACTCCTCCATCTCTCTTTCCATACACTGCCCTTATCTTCTCTCCATCTTTCTGTCGCACACTCCAAACTAAAGGTTACATTGAGAAACTAAGAAATGTCATTTCTGAAACTCTGTTAGACAATACCTCACACTTTCTGGATGTTACACTATCTCGCGCGCATTCCTCAGAGGTCCAGTCAAGAAAAAGTGAAATATTCTGAGAAATACACCTGCAGAATGTCACTAACATTTTCATCTACAGTAGTGACTTTTAGTGGAAAATGCTTAAATCTTTTTGCCTCCTCTTGGTTGGCTTGAAGTCAAAAGTGCATTTTGGGACTTAATTTATTGTAAAAAAAAAAAAATCTACAGAATATTTTAAATTTTCAAACAATTTTATGTTATATTAACCTAATACTCTACTTTACAACATTTATCAGAAAATATAGTGCAGCTATGTAGATGTTTTTAAGATATACAAAATAAAATGATGGAATAAAATCAAGTTTAATATCTGGCAAAAAAAAATTGGCATATGTATTCCAAACAACTGAGAGGTCTGTGCCTCTGAACTAGAGGATTATTTAGAATCAAATATTTTTCAAATAACTGATTTACATTTCAATATCATTAGCACAACTTTTATGTTGCTATTACAAAATACTACGCTGTTTAAAATACTTCATTTACAGTAATTTAAATATTTTGACTTTTCCACTTGACTCAATCTTTTCAGCAAAAATTATTTTTTAAAATCTAATGCTTATATGCAGTCTTATTTAAAATGCACATGAAATTTGATGAATCATAAACTGTGATCGCCTGTGTCAGTGTCAGCCACCTGAGTTGGCAAGAGCGATGGCCTTGAGGGTGACAAACTCCTCCTTCTCCACTTTGAGCTTCTTGTATTTGCGGACCAGCTGCAGGATGGAGACGTAGAGGTCGAGCAGGCCCGTCAGCCGCGAGTGCTCCTCGTCCATGATGTAGTCCTCGGCGTACACCAGCTCGTCCTCGTACGGCAGCGAGCGGAAGACAATGCTGAGGATGAGGATCTCCATCCAGGCGCTCTGCAGTAGACTCATCTGGTCTCCCAGAGAGAGAGTAGAAAACCCTGGAAGGACAGAGAGGACAGGAAGGATCATTGGATTGTACTGAATAGTTGTGCCTCCTCCATGATTTAACAAAAATGTTCTTATATGCACTGAAGCTATTTTAGAGAAAATAAAAGGAAGCCAAACAGCACTTTGAATTGATCAGTAAGCCAAACATGACTTGTCGAGCCTCGGTAGCTCTGAATAAATGCCAAGGCATCATGTTAGCGAGTGGTATTTAATTTTAAATGCACAGTGGAAGGTCCTCTTTGAAGCTGGTGTCACAGCACTTGAGTGGGCTTTACTGTAAGTGGGGACAGTAAATCGGTGCAAAGGTCCATGACACACAAAGCCATATGGTTATCCCTTGTATCCTGTCACACTTGTGTTGATGTGAGGGGGATTAGACCCGAGATACATTCTTATTGGAGGGGTTGAGGACATGACATGCACTGAGAGATGGTACTGCAGGAGGTGATGAGGAGATGTACACACACAGGCACACAGGGACATCCATACACAAAAATGTGTTAGCCAGGAAAACAAACAGACACATGTGCACATGAGGATCGGGACACTTATGCACATCAGTACACTTGAATGTACACACACCCACAGAGCACTGGGGCCACATGCTTCAAGCTGGGCCTACTCAACTGATGAGTTGGAATTGGCTCGGGCATCATTTCTACTCGAACACCTTTACATATGCTCGGAATAGAGCATTAAAGAAAACAAACTGCTAGATCCCCCAAAGATGAGCTGTGAGAAATTCAAATAAATTAAATTGGGTAAAGGCAAAAGGAAAGGGAGAGAGTGAGGAGCCATCTCATCCCTCTTACTTTTCTACTACCTTTCAGCTGTCAATAAACTGCATTAACCAACCCCCACTCTCTTCTTCCATCTCCCGTCCCCTTGCACAATGTGCCTGCAGGGGGCCAATTCTGACAGCATATTAGGCTCTTCAGCTCCACCCATGATTAATATTATTGCTTTTACAAGTTTGCTGTTGTCAGGTTACCTGCCGCTGTGTAATTACGAAGCAGTAGATGACAGTATTGACCAGAGGAACTCACCAACACCCCATTTTTTCTTTTAAATATAAATACTCTCACTGTGGTGCAATCACCAGCCTGATGTTTACTGCCTCCTACACACCACGAACACACACGCACACACACACACACACACACACACACACACACACACACACACACACATACACACACTCATCTATACATGTGCAGGTTGAGAAGAATAAAAGCCATGATGAGAAAGCATGAGAGAAAGTGAAACAGGACGGAAAGAGAGAGACAGGCAGAGAGAACAGAAGAGCCAGGAAGGGTAGTACCTGAGTGTTCAATTTCCCTTATCGTGGTGATGACCACTGCAGGGGAAGCACTGGAGGATACATTAATTAACAGATTGTGATCAGAATGTGAGGGCCTTCACATTTTGAAGGGGAATCAATAGTGAGTAGAATAGAGTGCTAACAGAACGGTGCTGGTGCCTGGCTGGACTGGTCAGAGGTCTGACGCGCCCAAATTAGACTCAACAAAGCAAACTGCAGAAAGCACTCAAAACATTTGACTATTATCAGTGGAAGCAATAAGGCATATTTTGTAAAGGCCTGTGCCATTACACATTTCCAGGCAGCATCTTTAAATCTTTTGTTGCGCTATTTCCTTGTCTGCATACGTGGCCATTAAGTTGGACAGAATGTGGACTGGCCGAAGGGAAATTGTCATGCGAGTGTGGACGTGGTCTTGATTGTTGCATCAGGTTGGCATCACAATCACAGACAAGGCTCTGTTGAGCCTTTTAATGCCAAGGAGGACTGAAGCGGAACTAAACGCTGCTCCCAATGTGACAGCCTGTGTGAAGGCCTTGTTTGGGGCTTGTTGGAGAGGCTTTAGAGTTGTTCTGATACAGCAGACACCTATCAGCCATATGCACACATACAGCCCAGCAGCCTACAATTACCTTTGACGCTAAAAGTCCTTGAATTTAATCCAGTGTTGTGAGATGGAGAGGTGGTGTTTTTCCCCTGCTCCATCCCTTCTCTTCAGGGCCTAAATTATCGCTCCAAATGGGATCTTGTGTCGTTGCCTCGCCTTTTTCCACTCAATTTAATCGAGTAATGAAGTGACTTCCCGACTCTGCAGGTCACACAGCGCTTCGGCCGCCGCACTCTGAAGGTGGCCCGGTTAAGTGCCAGCGGAGTGGGTGATTTCCTCTAATGAAATATCAATATTTACATCTTCATTTCCAGCCCACTGCCTTGGCGGGGTTTGACCAAACATGACACAATATTGACCAAATCAGAGAGGCCTGTCTGCGTGCTTGAAGGGCCTTTTCCACTCCACTGCTGAGTGCACCAGCAGATATCTGTCTGAAAGGCTTTGTGGCAGGAATACAGAGATAATAACAAGGCAGAGTTTTTCTAAGTTTACTTTGATTTAAACATCCCACTTATACAGAATCCTACAATTATGTTTGAAAGGGATTTTCACTTTAAAATTCCCAGATGTGACATTGTATCCTGCATGAGCATCAGTTCAATCTTAGACAAAAGAGTAAAAATAGGTGACAGAGAAACAGCACCACAGAGCCGAGCACTGACCACTAACTGCTATAGCACAACATTATTCATAGTGTAGTTCCAAGGGTGAAAACAAGACCACTAAAGACCAACAACAGCAGCTCAAATCATCTCTTCCTTTATCTCCCCAAAAGCCCTCAGCTGTGGGCAGGAGGGGGCAGCCCAAACCCACAGACGGCTGCTTCAAACCCCTAACAGAGATTAATCAGTGCAACCGTTTCATCTGCCAGAGCACAGGACTGTCCAAAATGAAATGCTGGAGATTTCTGTTGAGCTGGAGTTCATATTCTATTAATTTATTATTGTTTCCCTCTCCCTGCGGGCCATTAGCACGGGTAATAAAAAGAGATGTAATTACGAGGCACGGTGGCCCCCTCCAGCTGTAGCCACCTCGTAACTCATCCTAAATCAGACAACAGAGCAGACAGAGGGAGTAAGAGAGAGAAAAGGGAAAAGATGGCATGAGAGAGGGAGAGAAATGGAGGATAAAAAAGAGGAGAAGATATGGGCCAGAGAGGGGCGAGATAAGGAAAAGAGAAAAGAGAGCAAAAAGGAAAGGGAGCTGGAAAGAGGAGAAAGAGTCATTCTGGCTGGACAGAGGCTGATCTATCATGGCCAGCTATCAGAAGGACAAGCAGGCCCTGAAGATTCTTGCCCAGCGGCAATCTCACCTCAGCCAAGTCAAGTGCTCTCCGGGCTCCAGTTGGAGTAAAACTGCCTAACAGGACCCCAGAGGTTCAGCACATCTTTTTTCTAACCTCAAACTGAGCTGAATGATCATGCCACTATAAGCTTATTCTATATCAAAGCTTTTTATTTTAGACAGTGAAGGCAAGAGAAAAAAAAATGTATGCACCTTTGATTTATATAGATTCCTCTGATCTGGCAGTGTGACATACTATGGTGTAAGATGTATAACCAATACAGGACTGAAAGGCAATTTTGAGCAGCTTCATAATGGTGTGTATGTGCACCAATCTTGTTTGTGTGGCTCTGTGTGTGTGTGTGTGTGTGTGTGTGTGTGTGTGTGTGTGTGTGTGAGACTCGGAGCTGTGGACCATGATTCTTCTTGAATTTACATGACAGTGTCAGAAGGACCCAATCGATAGCAGCTTGGTAATAAATTGCAGTGCTTGACATAAATAATTTGACCTGAAGTCCAGCCAGACGTACCAAACAAACAGCTCAGTTTGCTGTGAGCTTTCCCTGGACACTGATTTGATGACACAAAGGCTGTTTTATATTGGATAAAATCATGTCAATACAAACAAAATCTGACTCAGTGAAAGAAGAGGTTGACGAGTGAAAATTCATCTTTTTTTTACTTTCAGCTCTGGTGCTCAGTTTCAGGAGACTCAGTGATCTGCCTCCTTTCAATGTGATAACCAGCCCATTATCCCAGGGTAAGTAGCTGGGAAATGGGTGATTTGACCAGTAGCCTGTGAATGTTATGAGGTTGAAGAATGTTAAATACAGTAATCCGCTTGTTTTAATCTGCAATCTTTGACCTCCTGACCCTGGCAGGGCAGTGTTTAACCCTCACCGGAGTCTCACTGCCCAGTGCAGATGTTACATATCTCTGTTGAAACCCAAAGACCAAGACGAATCAGGCTTTAATCATTACCATAATTACCCATAATTTATCTCTGCTGCCATCAAGCAACATTTCCTTTGTGAAGGATGGTGCTGTGCTGCTCATCAGCATCTTCAGAACAATATAAAATATGATATAAAATTCTACACAGATAATACAAAAGTTCTGCAGATTTTCCACAAATTAAACATGACGATAATTTGAACCGTGCACACACATAACTGTGATGCTGTATGTACCTGCTCATGTGTCACAGTGACTAAACAAAGCCCACCCCCACCCTGCTTGGCAGATGTCCCCTTACTGGCCCTGCATACTCCTGTCTGCCTGCCTGCCTGCCTCTGATACGCGCCCATCTCAATCTCCCTGCATTTTTTCTGTCTTCCTCTTGCTCTCTTGTCTGGGTTCAGGCCTCAGCATCCACCTGATTGCTCAATCTATCTTTATCTCCTGTGCTGAAGCCTACGTCAGAGGGTAAATTGAATATACTAAGAGCTGTCTGTTGGTGTCTATATTTAATAAAGTGCACTGATGAGGTGCTGATTTATTGCCGGGCAGTATTCACACTCTATTACAAGGAGATTACGAAGCTTGAGTGGGATCAGGCTGGCAACACAGTAAGTAGATTTCACAATTTAATGGCAAAGAGAAAACAGGAGCCTAGAGGGGGGTTGGAGGAGGGTGGGCTGATGGGTGATTATGGTGGAGGGTTGAGCTGACACAAATACGACAACATACAATAGGCGCGATCGCTTTTTAACATCGCTGCCTCTGTGCTAACAACTAACAAGCCAGGCGGTTGTCTGTCAAATATGGAGCTGATGAGGTGGAATCTAATAAGGCACAGATGATGAATATTCCCCAAACACCGGTAATGAACAGAACAATGCAAACACGCCTATATCATTGGATTCATTTGGTCTGAATCTAATACCAAAACACATGAGAGGGTGGGAGATTAATTTCTTAATATTATAAATAAGAATGAACTTCACACATCAATTCAAATGTTGTTTAAATATTGTTACTCCTTAGTGGTGACAAGCCAGAGTAAAAATATATTTTACTGTGTTGGAGCAACGCAGCAACAGAAGCAGAAGCCAAGTGCTAGTGTTTACTTGGCCCTTTAGCCTTCCGAGAATTCCCAGCTGAAAACACCCGGGCCTGGGAAGCTGGGATCGGAGCCGGCAAACACCAAACAATGTGTGCCTCTTTAATAAGCAGCATGCAAAGCAGTTTTTACATATGATCACATAACATCCCCACTGTGGGTAGGAAGAGATATGGGGTGGCATAGAGCTACAAGGGTCACGCTAGTATCCTGCTACTCCTCACAAAGGACGCAGTGCCAAGGTGGTAGATGTGTTCTAGTGTAGTGGCGCTATCAGTATTCTCAGTTCCTCCCTGGACCTCTTGGACAGAGTGAAATGCAATGTTATGGGAAGGAAGAGGGCCTGTGGGGTGGACAGTGGACTGCTACGTATATGTGTCAAAGGTTGTTAGCACCTTAGCAGCAGCAGGCCATCTGTCAGCATCCCCCTAATACTGCTCCTAATGACCCTGCCCTCCTCAGGCAACAGCCATGTTAGCCTCTGCTTCATGGTGCTATTTGGAGCAGTAACACTAGTGTCCAAAAGCTCTGAGATGTTAATCAGTGAATCAAAGGCAGATTCAGAAATACGACAAGGCAAGCCTTGGCAATAGCATAGCGGTTACAAGGCTCTTGCTATATGAACCCAACCTTCAATATCTACCTCTTTAAACTAAGGTAACAGGTGCATCTGATCTGATTGATTGCACTCTTATTTAAAATCATTTTAAAAATAAAACTGTAAAACCTTCATTTATGCAAACTGGTTTAATGGTACAGTATATAAAATATTGCTGAGATGACAAAGTTGACATCAGATCCTGGAAGGCAAAGATACCATCTACATTAATGATAAAGCTTAGTTATCTTCTGATTGCCCTCTAATTAAAACTCAATAGGGCCACTCTACTCCACATTATGCCACTTTTGAAACATGTTTTCAAATGGTAGCTGAGAACAGGGCAAATTAGTTGGAAGAAGGTAAGTGCCAATTTTCATGACATTTAAATTGTTACATTTGGATTTTAGTTATTGGCCCATCTGTCAATGGCCTAATCAATGTGGTCTACTTCATAATGAACTGTTAATCTTTTTAATTCTATTGCCTAAGGCCACAAAAATCTATCAGACTGCAATCAACACTTTTGTTCTCCCTTTCTTTTCTTGTTCCGGAGTGGATGGAGGGAGAAATGTAGTAGGAGCTGAGCGTGGTAGGCTGCCCTGGGGTACCGTTGGTGCATGGAGTGTTAGCGCATAGAGTCTCGCTCAACCAGTGAACCGTCTCTGATCAGGTTCAGCCATGTACAACTCAATTATGCAGCCATTTCATGGCCAGAGGACAACCACTGTCCTAATACAGACACCACCACAGGGACTGACACAGACTAAGCACTGTGCTAAACAGGAGGTCTTTACTATGTCAAATTGCCTTTTTTGATCTAAAAAGAATATGTCTTTTTATGATGACAAATAAAAAGTTATAATATATAAAACAAGTGTGTGTGAATGGGTGTATTTATACAAAAGCAGACCAGAATAATCTACTGCTCACTGTTTAGTGCAGCTGTTTAGTTCTAGGTACTCGCTCACAGTTGGAAAAGGCTTACAGCCCCAGGTTTTGGGTTAAATGATCATTATCGACACATTTGGAAAGACAAGTCCTCTGCCACAATCTGGAAGGCAAATCCCATTAACATTATGAATCTATCCACTGTACAATGAGCATTAGTATAATCGGATTAACAGTGATTCAACACTATGACATAAAATCCCAGTTAAAGTGTCCACATATTAGAATGATGATGCACTTCAGGATGAAAATTAAAAGTTATTAAACATATTAAGAGAGATAAAAATCACAAATCCTAGTCACAAACAAAACAGATTGTTGCTATAATAACTATTGCTTACGGTTACTCAGTGGCCTCAGATGACCTGTGAAATATTTAGTAGTT